TGCTACTACGATGCCGGGAACTGCGCTTATGCTGGTTTCATGAGAATGCTTTTGACTCCGGAAGAGCGCCAAGAATGCTACAGAGGGTCAGTCTTGCCCAAGGAAGAGCTCCTGGGTGACACGGTGGAGCTGGCGCTCGGGCTTCTTACAATTGCAATGAGACACCCAAGTCATTTTCCGAATTGGGGTGGCCTTGAGGGAGCAAATGCGTGCGCGAGGGGAATCGAAAGATCATTCTTCCGCTACGCGTCGGCCGAAGCTATCGAGCTGATCACGGTTGACTCCCCGCGCAAAAGGACACCGCCCAAGAAGAATGAAGCAGTCGCTGAGATCGTCAACAACATGTCCGCTGACCTCGTGATTGATTTCACAGTGATCGTCGATGGTGATATCTACCCTGTAGAGATTGCGAGAACCGACGAGACACAGGCCGCTGACAACGTCACGGACGATCCAGGGTTCTCAGTTGCTCCACCAATACCTGCACAGGATGTAGATGTGGATGCGCAACCCGAAGAAGAACAAGGTGCAGAAGGCCCTGATCCCAGGCATGCAATTCGTGAAGGATTTGTCGCGCAGCTTCAGGACTATGTGGGAGTACTCGCTCAGGGCGAAATGTCGGTCGGAAGCGACCGCCTCACGTTCTGTGTCGCTTGTGGCAGTGATCTACACACTCTGTCCAATTGCACAGAAAATGCTGCGACCCGGGATCTGGTACTTCGAGGCGTCCAGATTATCAAGGAAAGCCTTCTTCGATATCCACGTCGAGTACCTCCACAAGAGGCTGAGCCAATGGACGTTGACACCACAGACCATGTGAGTGTTGCATCCTCGGACCGACGACCCAAGGCCAAAGCCCGACCGCGACGCGGAGGCGAAGCCGTACGGGGTGATGTGGTCTTGATCCGTTATGAGAACAAACACAATCTCTGCACGGATGTGGAGAACCGTCGGGGCCTACATGATGCTTGTGGCGTACCACTGCAGGAATCGGGACCAGAGAATAGCCAGCGAGTGGTGGACCTCATTGAGCAGCTTTCGGACCATCGCGACCGACGCCTACCTCAACGAGGAGACCGTCCTAGCTTTGCTTACGATGATACCACTCATAGCTACACCAATGCAGGCTACGAATCCATCGGCGGCGGAAGGCCAATCCGGTGCGGGATTCTCGACCTGATCCCAACCAAGGGTGCAAGCTTCATCAACAATCGATGGGACTTCGTGAACGAAGTTGTCCTTCGCGACATCACCCGTCAGCGCAGACTGAACGCGGATTGGGCGCTATCATGCATCCAATCTGACCTGCGCCACAGAATCGCCAGGCGCCCAGGCTCGGAATGGCTTGACAACAGGTGCCAGGTGGCATTCAACAGTGTCATCAAATGTGATGAAGGAGGGTGGGTGATGATCGAAGATTTGGTGAGGCATGAGCCACTATGGACCCATGAAAGCAGACGCATCACCGAAGCGGTCTCAAGGACCGATGAGCAACAGAAGAAGAGAGTGTACAATGAAAGACTTCAGCTATTGTTCCAAGGGAACATGATTGCAGCCACGAAACGCCACAAGGCCAAGATTCGGTTGCAGTTCCTGGGTGTGAGAGTGAAGGACCCCGGCACGGAAACTCTTGGATCAGCAGGTTCGAACAGGTTGGTATCGGTTCAGGACCAGATCACGGAGATCCAGAACAATGATCATTGCCGGCACGGCCAGAGGTACCTGAACATGTGCAACGGCTGGGTGAAGCCATGGGCAGTTCGGGCTACGAGTGGTCACTCTGCGCACTCAGATCCCCAGAACAACTTGCTTCAGTTGGACAAGAACAGGTTCGCAATATCTCCATCTATGACCCTCTTGCAACGTCTTGGAGGTGCGTTCCACGCTACGGCATGCCGCAACTTGGATTCCATTGTCACGCAAGGCATCATGCCTGGTTCGGAGGACCCCGACGGGGACTTCGACCATAGGCGCCAATTCCGAGGCAACCAAGGTGGCAGACTCCACAGCTATTGGGGGGTGTTTGCGCCGTTCGATCACCGGAACGCAACGACCAAGATGCGAGTACATGGACGAGACGCCAAGCACATGCCATTGGCGGTCCTTCATGTCCCATCGCAGGACCTTGCACGAGAAGATGGACGTATCACAGACAGCGGCATCATGATCGTTGGCCGAACGATACCTTTCCATTTCGTCAAGGAGGTATGGTTTTGCGTCCCTGATCCTCGAGATACACACTCTTTCGCTCTGGTGGAAAAGATCTACGATGAACGGTTGGAGAAAGAGCTGGTGTTGGACTACAATGCATCACCGTTGCTTCCTGAGTTCGAGAGATACGAACGCCAAGCAAGATCATGGAATTGCTTTGCGAGATGCCTCCTGGACCCCACGACACAAGCAAGGAGCAGATCATTCGAGACCTCACGACTGTCCTGGAGTCCCACAGGGAGAACACGGTTCGGCATCACTACATGGACAAAGGAATCAAGTTTGTCATCAAGAATTGGCGACCCGAAGACCTACGCAGAGACGAGGATGGACGGAGAATGAGGGTATGCCCGGCATGCTACAACATCGTTCCAGCATGTTTCTCCCGATGCACGTCTTGCTGGTCACAGTTCGTTTCGAGCGGATATTACCAAGGTTCTCCACAACGGGAGACTCCTACGGAGATCCCCAGTGACTTCATTGCTCAGACAATGGAAGCCGCAGCAGCCGCAGTGCCTGAGGCGCCCGAAGAGGAGCAGGAAGCCATGGAGGTAGAGACCGTTGCGGAACCTGAGGAAATCCCAGAACCATCTGTCATCGCGGAGGACGATCCAGAACAGGAACCTGATGAAGAAATGGACATAGAGCCAGGAGAGGACTTTGATGACGCAGTACCAGATGCAATTGCACAGGAACGTCGTCCCGTCTTCATTACCGGCCAGTCTTTGAACATCGATCCTGAGCTACAACTTGCACGTACCGCCATGCAGCCATCCTACTATTCTGGAAAGCGAAATGCCCATTGCATTGACGCGAACATGACCGCTCTTTCGTACATGGCATACGTGGTATGCAGATCCATCTACAAGGCTTGGTCAGGATTCGCAAAGTGGGCGACTATGCCGTTGTTCCAGATGAGGGAAAGTTTCGCACTTGGCCAACGCTATGATGTGCTCGGAAAGTGGGGATCTTTGGCGGCAGTGGATAGGGAAACGGGTGTGAGCAAGGATGTGACTGATGAGGAGATCATTCGCTTTGCCAAGGAGCCTGAGAACCTCAAGCAGTATGATCCCAACGGGACTTACACCTTGAAGCGCTTCCGGACGAACCAGATGCTTTCGTTGCTTACACGGGGAGCCAACATGATGGGAATTGGCAGGGACAACTTCAACCCTACTACTTACTTGAAGAGCGAAAGGGATGAAGATGTGAAGGCTATGCACTTTTGTTGCCTGAACGTCCTGTGCGAGGTGATTCCAATGGTGACGGGACACCAACAATTCTCAGTGCTACGACCAACGCCAACTGGACCGGTGGACTTCTTGTACATCGACCCCGTCGGTATCCTGCTGACTCATTCTGATCAGTCAGTCCAGACCATCGGCTTGCTGGTGGACCACAATGTGCAAATGCCTGCGCATTTCATGGACAGATTGAACAGATCCAAGGTTGAGAGACAGCAAAACCCGACGACCAAGCGTACTGAAGCCCTACACCACATTTCGGCCGCTGACTATCTCCCTCCAGGTGGTACTTCCATCCTGGACACGCCTGTCACTACGGAGGAACGTGAAAGCGCTTCTTCGGCCAAGGGACCTTCAAAAGGGCGTGGGAGAACCGGAGGTGAGCAGCATGGAGGCTGGAACTCCAACTCCTACTACGACTACACCGCCGGCAAAGGCCGAAACAAAGGCAAGGACAAGGGAAAGCATCGGGAACAGTATCCAGAGGAAAACCTCCGGCCCTGGGACCGCGATCCTGCGACCACGCGAAGATGGAGATGAATCAACGCTTGGTCTTCCTCGCCTATCAGTTCGTGACCTCTGAGCTTCGCCCATGGAATGCCATCGCGAATGCTTCTTTCTTCGGTGACGCCTGATTCGTTTGCCATTTCAGGGGATCGTTACTGACGTAGATGAGTGTCACAACGTTTCTAATTGGGATGCAAAGCTCTGATTTTCAATGTCAACGTTGCGGCGGAACATTTTCTGTTGTCCTATCGTGCCATCTTCCGGGTGAGCAGCGTCGGAGACGCAACTCATGGGGGGTGCGAACGGACTGCGATGCCTTGTCAAGTTCTAAGGTGTCACTATAAGAGCTGTGAGCAAGACCGTGTAAAGTGCAAGAGAAGGGGGCACGCTACGCGTCCCTCGACTCTAAGGGGGCATGCTACGCATCCCTCATCTTTACCTTTCTATGTGACCGCCAACGCAACGTTTGGCTCAAGTCAATGCCCATAGCTAAGTGCTATATGTGTCTTCTATCCTGAGCAATCAGAGCTATCCCGTTGCACAGACGAACCGCCGCCGGCAGTGAGTGCAAAAGGAACGGCCGCCGGTTCTGCCTGCATAGGATTGCACGTGTGGAAGTAAGAGGGAGAGACAGGGTCCAGTCTGTGGAGAGTGCAAGCCAGCCACACCTACATTCATTACAGCTCTGGTGGGGAGAGCAGCAACCAAGTCGAGATCAATCCCCCACGCAAATTGTTTTATGTTTGTGTTCATATAAAACCCAAGAGAATATTTGACATAGTATTGTTATTATATGGCTCTAAGGGGGGTATCGTCACCAGCCCCGAAGCCCCAAGCGCTAGTTTGTAGCTGTTTTGTATCCGTGAGCCCTGAAAGCCCTATGCCTAGGGACCCCAAAAAGCACATAAGCATAGGCATTTTGTAGGGATATCCCTACCTAGTTGGGCTTCATTATAAGGGGATTTATATATGGGATATCCCTATCCTTATTTTTGCTTATGTGCTTCTTTGGGTCCCTACACTGCTTGCAAGTCTGAGGCCGGCTGCCCGCGCGGAGAGGTTGGGAACCCAGGAGGAGGTTTCGACAACCATGGGCATTATGGAGTCCTTAGTCGTTAGACTAGCGTTTTTTTTGGGGGGTCACTATTCCGACCCCTATAGCACCTCATTCGTGCGGCGATAGAGGAAGGATGTGAATGCTTGAGGTTTACATTCTCCCTACAGTAGTGTTCATTTTTAGAATCTCGTTTTCCACTCGAGGCGTATATTTCAGAGCACCTTTATGTTCAGAACGGCCGAGACCGCCTGCCTTGGGTGTTTTCTGCCTTCGGGGCGGGCAGGCCCAAGCCTTCAAAGTGCTATAGTGGCTTGTAGAACCCAAAAAGTATCCTTCACCCTAAACCCTAAACCCTAAGCCGTGAAGACTCAGACAAAGGCCGGAGCATGGAGCTTGCAAGCACGTGACCAGAACTCCATGCGGAGGGGCTTAAGGGGTTTTTGCCTGGGTTTTAGGATGGGCCTTAGAAGGGTCTATGCAAGGGTTCTCGATGAGGTCTTCAGAGATGCCATGAAAGTTTACGGATTTGCGGTTTGAAGACTTTGGGTGTATTCACTGCTTGGGGTTTCGGGTTTAGGGACTGTTCAGATGAAAGATGGATACAGACAGACAGACAGACAGACAGACAGACAGAGAGACAGAGAGACAGAGAGACAGAGAGACAGAGAGACAGAGAGACAGAGAGACAGAGAGACAGAGAGAGTGAGAGAGTGAGAGAGTGAGAGAGTGAGAGAGTGAGAGAGTGAGAGAGTGAGAGAGTGAGAGAGTGAGAGAGTGAGAGAGTGAGAGAGTGAGAGCGAGAGAACGATATGAAAATTAAAACTCATATACCTATACAGATGTATGGATAGGTGGATAGGTAGATGGACCGATAGATCTACAGATAGGTATATATCTGTAGGTAGACAAATGGGTAGATCGATAGATTGATACGCATATGCGCATCCATACATGCATGCATGCATCCATCCATCCATCCATCATCCATCCATGCATGCATACGTAACGGACTTCCCAAATCGGTTGGGCCATCAGTCCCATTTGCAAGCTCCTGAGACTCGCCCTTAACACAGTCTGTGGTGCTCCTGTTTTAGAGGTTTTGGAAGGGGAAATTTGGCGCCAACTGTAAAGCTTAATATCGATTGCAGGGGTACTGTTTATGTATGCACAAATAGATCAAGAATGAACCAGCCCGAGAAACCTGCTTCTTTGGAGCTTTTCGTGAGGTGAAGCTCTTTGATTTTCAGCCGGGCGGAGCCACACAAAGCTGCTGCAAGCAGGAGTCTGATTTCTGAAAGTTCGTTCTGGGATTTGTGCGATTTTCGTCTAAATGACACTCTTTCGTTTGTCCAAAGATGCTTGTTAGGATTATTGTGAGCGTTCACTTGTGGTTAGGTTTCGGGGCTGAGGGTGTAAGAGATACACGGTAAGCCGCAACTCCTTAATGGTTCAAGGCGCCGCGAAATCCTAAACCTGGCAGCTTTGCGGTCAATCAGGGACTAGAGTCGATGGGCTCGGGGGTTTCCATGTCTGAGGATGGACATTCGTGATCGCCTGTGGCTTACCCACAAGCTTTCCCCGTAGCCGTCTGCATTTTCGGACGTATTTGCCAGGTACCATAAACCCTAACCGAACCCCTAAACCCCAAAACCCAAACCCCGAAGCCCTAAACCCTAAACCTTGGACCCCCAAAGCCCTAAACCCTCACCTTAGACTCTTAGACCCCGCAGCCCTAAAGGCTAATCCCTAGACCCCCAAACCCATAAACCCTAAACCTTAGACCCCCAAAGCCCGACGAAAGCCTAGACTCCCTAGACCCCAATCCTTGAACCCTCAGGGCAGCTTCCAAAATCAGGCCTCTCCGGGCAGTTCAGATCAAAGGGTCGCCGAGGCGAACCCTCTCAGGGTTGAGGAATCTTGTTATTAGTATGAGTATCAATACCATTAGTATGTTTTCTATTGTTAGCATTACTCGTATCAGTCTTCGTATGCTTGTTATGATGACCAGTCCTTTTGTTGCTTACCTTTCGGGTTTTTGGTGGTTGTGCGATCCTAAACCCTAAACCCTAAACTTTACCGACCAGGCTTGTGCTGGTTGCGCCTACTTCTCGGGAAATTCCTGCCAGCGTTGTGCCGGTGGCTTCATCGAACGTGAAGGCCGGAGAAGTTTAGGATTTAGGGTTTAGGGTTTGGGGGTTTAGTAGGTAGGATGGGAGGATTCAACTTACCTTTGGTTGGTAGGGAATGGAGGAATGGGTACAGGAATAGCTACTATTACTACCACTCTTCCATTCCCTACTAACCAAAGGTAAGAAAGGTGGGAAGGTAAAGCAGCAGGTAGGATGAAGGATCCCTTGTATAAGGACTCCTAACTGGGAATATCCCACGTACCTTCATCCCACCTTTTAACCCCTTTGAGAAGGCCAATGCACAGCCTGCACCAGTTCCGGCGGCTGGCTCCTTGGAGAATGTTGTGAGTATTTTTGTGTGATCTGTGTTTGGGACCAAATGGAGGTAAGCTAGCTGAGACCCACCTGACAGGGATGCTGTCTTGAGTTCACATTCGGGTTGTTGTTGGGTGCTCTTATGAGTACGCTTGAACGATAGTTTTTCCATTTCGGTTTGGAGGTTGAGGTCCAGCATGTAGGGCTGCGTTGCCAATCATCTTGCCGCATTGATCCAGGCTCAGCTTGGACGGGAAATCGTGCATGCAGCTGGCGTCGAGCGAATGCAACGATGAAAAAGTACGGGGCCAATCGAGCAACGAGGCTTGCTGCCAGTGCGGTGGTGGGGTCGTTACGCACCTTGGTTGCACGTACCATCGGGTGCGAGAGTTTGGTTGTTTTCGGGTTTGGATCTACTTGAGGAGCACTTGGAGATTACTTGGGGGTGCTCTGAGTTGTCTCTTTCTTTGCGATTGCAATGTAGAGTCGCCCAAGTTTTTCTTTTGTACTATAACTCCAGAACCCTTAGTCTAACCCTAAACCCTAAGCCCTAGACCTTTGCAGACCATAAGGGATTGCATTGCTGATTCTTCGGACCCCTTAACTCAGTGTATCACCCTAAACCCGCCCGAAATCCCTGCGCCCTTAAACCCCAAACCCCCAAACCCTAAACCCTAAATCCGAAACCCTAACCCTAAACCCCTGAGCCCCTTGTGTCCCAGGCCGACGCCCTTCTCCTATCCCAACAGGCGCTGGTCCCTGGACTCGGACATTGCGACTCGCCAAGGATGTCCTAACATCTGGCTTTGTTGCTAGTATTCATCTTTTGCCTTGATGATGGTTTCTATCGAGGTACGTTTTCATGAGTACTTGTACAGACAGGGACGCTGTGGGACAACAATCCATTCATGCTGCTTTTTTTGCATAACCAGAATGACCACCAGTGTCTCGGTTGCTATTCGTAACCCTAAACCCTAAACCCTAAACCCTAAACTCTAAACCCTAAACCCTAAACTCTAAACCCTAAACCCTAAACCCTAAACTCTAAACCCTAAACCCTAAACCCTAAACCCTAAACCCTAAACCCTAAACCCTGAACCCTGGGTTCGTCGTTTTACTTTCGTCTCGGGGGAAGCGCTTGGGAAGTTCCCAGGTCATGAAGCCCGAGCCCCGCACGGCCCTGCGCTACACCGTGGACTCGAAGTGTGAGCTTGCGGCACATAACCTGACCATCGACAGCTCCACAGGAGGGTTTTGGGCAATTTCGGGTGCTTTGTTGCAGATTGTAGGGCTTCAGGTTCGGGGGTTGGGATGTAGGCTTCAGAGCTGAGCGCCGGACGACTTGGTGGTGTTTTTTGTCTGCCTGAAGGCATGGGGTAGGTGTCGGACTCCGGATTTACGGTTGTTTCCGCCCTGAACTGCGGCAATATTGACCCGACAAGCGGTCATGGTAGACTGCTGTCCCTTTAAAGTGCTTCCTGGACCCCCAAAAGTATGTAGAATAATAGCCTTTTAAAGGTTTTTGGCCATTATTTTACCTACTTTTGAGGGCCTCGGTCTGGTTCTACTAGTATGTTAGTTACTGTAAGTCTTGAGGAGCCCAGAGACTCCAATATATATCTTAATTTGGGAATAGGTACCTTAAATCATATTAGGGATCCTACTATAATTTAAGGAATATCCCTTAATTAAAGGATATTGGAGTCTCTGGGAGGGTAGGGCTCCTGTAGTGCAGCGTTGTTCGCGCAGGCACGGTGTACAAGAGTTCAGGCGATTCGGAAGGTGCTGCTGCATGGCGTCGCGCATTTTGGGGTATACGGGTGAAAGATGTTGCTGCCCCAAACCCTACACCCTAAATCCCTGAACCCCTAAACCCTTAAGCCTAAAACCCTAAACCCTGAAACCCTAAACCCCTAAACCCTAAACCTTAGAAGCTGCCCCCACCCTGTAATAGTGACTATAAGGATTATATTAGGGCCCTTTTATATTCCAATTATGCCCTAAACCCCTAAACCACAAAACCCTAAACCCTAAACCCTAAAACCCTAAAGCCCTAAACCCTTAAACCCCAAAACCCTAAACCCTACACCCTGAACCCTAAAACCCTAAACCCTTAAACCCCAAAACCCTAAACCCTACACCCTGAACCCTAAAACCCTAAACCCTTAAACCCCAAAACCCTAAACCCTACACCCTGAACCCTAAAACCCTAAACCCTTAAACCCCAAAACCCTAAACCCTACACCCTGAACCCTAAAACCCTAAACCCTTAAACCCCAAAACCCTAAACCCTACACCCTGAACCCTAAAACCCTAGCTGTCATTTTGAGAACGGTTTCCGAGTTGGGGGCTCCCAGTAGGGTCTGCGTTCTGACGCAGCGCAAGACGAAGATTTAGGGGTTTTGGGGTTTAGGGTTTAGGGTTTTAGTTCGGGTTTAGGGTTTCGAGTTTGGGGTTTAGGGGTTTTGGGGTTTAGGGTTTAGGAATTTCGGGTTTCGGGTTTAGGGGTTTCGGGTTGAGGAGTTTCGGGTTTAGAGTTTCGAGTTTAGGGTTTAGGGGTTAGGGTTCAGGTGGGGTTTAGGGTTTAAGAGCATAAGAAAGCCCATGAAACACGAGCAACTACCGCCCGTCTTTCAGCTGGCCCATTAAGATAAGCGGTTTTTGTGTCCAAACCCGTCTCGAGCCCAAAATCCTCATTATTTAGCCCCCAAGCTCATAACCCTCAAATTCTCTACCGAAAAGATCCAATCAACAGCAAAGGAGCAAAGCACAATAATGGGAACACAACTGGACAAGCCTGAACCTTAAAGCCGAAACCCGAAACTCTAACCCCTAAACCCGAAACCGTAAACCGAGACTCGAAACGCTAAACCTCAAACGAGCACAGGCACAACAACAAGAACTCGCCGCGCAGGAGAGATCAGCTACATGCCTGGGCGAGATAAGCCTCTGGAGGTCACCCTGAAGTTACCATAACTTCCTTCAAGCAAGGTTAAGGAAGTTAATGGAAGCTACCCAAACTCCTGCTCTCTTTGGGCCTTAACGGGTTCTGATGTTCCTGGGGTGTTGGGCTGAGAACTTGTGGTTTCATTCATTTTTTTTTTCGAGGGTGTTGTCAGGTCTGGGGCTGCGGGTTTCATAGATTTTCGGGTTGAGGGTTTAATACAGGGGCCTTAGGAGTTAGAAGAGGGTCTTGGGGTGAATTATTGTTCTCTACTTTAACGCCCCCCAACATAGTATAGGTAATTATTCAGGCCCCTAAGTTAGGATTATTCAGCGCTAAGGGCTTTGCTGTACCGTGCGTGCGCAAGCTTCGAGTAGCAGGGCCACGGATGTGGTAGTGTTCAGGGTTTCGGGGTTACGATCATTCGCGGACGCAGACTTACAACCAGAACCCGAAACCCCAAGCCCTAAACCCCAAACCCAAACGCTAAACTCCGAACTGAGTTAAACCTTGACTTCACAGATCAGGATCTGCGTTATATTGTATACGTATATGTATCTATCTATATATATATATATATATCTATATATCTATATATATATATATATACACATTTATATATATATATATATATATATATATATTATAAAATATAATATATATATATATATATATATATATATATACACATATTTTTTGTTGGGGGGTGTACAGCAGTCTTGGGACCTAGCTCTGCAAGACTCTGCGTGAGCAGGGTTGCGGGCTTCGAGGGCGCTCGAAACCGCGGAGGCATGCATACCTATATGTATCTATATATACATATATATATATATTTATATTTATATACTTATATATTTATATATACACAGATTTAGGTCTGCGGTTTCTTCGGCTTTGACGGATTGTGTCTCTTGGTTGTTCTGAGGGTTCATGCAAGAAGTTACTTGGTCGAGGAACGCGGTGTCTTTGCGATGCAGCGGCCTACAGGCGGACCTGGTGCAAAAGGCTGAAAGGACCCACCCTGTAATAGTGACTATAAGGATTATATTAGGGCCTTATTATATTCCTATTATACCACTATTACAGGGGGGAATCCAGGCATGTCTGCACCAGGCCTTATTCCCAGATCTTTCAGATCCTACAATGCAATGCCAAGAAGCGAAACCCGAACAACAGCCCTTTAAAGACCTCAAACGCCCTGTGCCGATATGGGGGTTTCCGAAAATCGGTGACCCTAATAGAGTGCCCTAAATAGTAGGATCCTTATTTCGAATCCTTAGCCTCCAAAACGAAGCTTCGAGGCCTTCTCCTTCGAGTGTGAGGTCACCGCCCACCAGGCCCGGCGGGTGCTTGTCAGAGATAGATCGACCCACGTTGGGCTTTAAGTTTGGGGGTTTTTAGGGTTTTTGGGGTTTAGGGTTTGGGTTTTAGGGGTTTGGAGGTTTTAGGGTTTGGGGTTTGGGGGTTTTGGGGTTTTTGGGGTTTAGGGTTTGGGGGTTTTAGGGTTTAGGGGTTTGGGGGTTTTAGGGTTTTTGGGGTTTAGGGTTTGGGGGTTTTAGGGTTTAGGGGTTTGGGGGTTTTAGGGTTTTTGGGGTTTAGGGTTTGGGGGTTTTAGGGTTTAGGGGTTTGGGGGTTTTAGGGTTTTTGGGGTTTAGGGTTTGGGGGTTTTAGGGTTTTTGGGGTTTCAGGGTTTTTGGGGTTTAGGGTTTAGCCGGGTTTAGAGTTTGTAGGGTTTTGGGTTTCGGGTTTGGGTAGGAGGGCCAAGGGCGGGCAAACAGGAACTTGTGGGGAGAGAACAAGAGGGCCGAGATCAGGGGCATGGAGGATATTGGGTTTAGGAAAGGGGATTGAGCGTTTTGGATATGGGCTTGGGGGTTTGGGGGTTTGCTGTTTAGGGCTTCGGGTTTTGCGGCTTAGGGTTTATCGAGTTTAGCGTTGAGTGAGCAATTCGGGTGTTTTTCTGGGATCCCCATGACAGATTCGTCTGCTTCTTTCAAAGCATCACCCTGCGACAGGCCGTGGGTGTGAGCTTGGCTTCCGTCGTCATGGTGGCCGCCGACGCGCTGAGCTACAGCTGCGAGCCTGCTTGAGGTTTAGGGTGTAGGGGGTTTCTCGCCGTAAGGTTAGGCAAGCAGAAATGACTGAAGCCTATCTCAGAAAAAGGGATATTTCCTTCAACAGTTGGTAATATTCGGTGCCATTCAGTTTGCTCCCATTAGCTGTCGGGCTTCAGGGTTTCGGGTTTGCATGGCGCCCTACAGCCTTCAACCCTCATATTATACAGGCTTTGATGATGGGGTTCTTATAACATGATAACGGTTTCTACACGCGTCTCGTAAGGGTTCTACCAACGCTTCCGAAGCAGGCCACATACGAATCAACCAAGCCCTAAGCCGTTTTTTAACAAGAAACTCGTCTGGTTTCTACATTATAGGATGCTAGGAATGTTGCCTAGGGGCGGCACTGACCATGCAAACTCTGGCCTGCACCTCCGAAATAGTATTTGCAAAACTCCCGCGCCGCCGTGGAGGCATCTTACCAATTCAAAACCTACGTGCTGCAAACTCAAGCCCGACACCCGCATGCAAGATCCGCAAAGACCTAGACCCGGGGGTGCCCAGAGACTCCAATATCCTTAGGGAATATACGAATCATATTAGGGATCCTACTATAATTTACTGTATATTCCTTAATTAAGGGATATTGGAGTCTGTGGGTACGGGTGGGGGAAGTCCTTTGGGGAAGCTGCCAAAGCTCAAAACGGCTCGCCGTGAAAGAACCCTATGGCTCCCACTTGTACGAAGACGGGGTAGGCTCAATCTGCGCCTCTTAAGCGCTAACAGTAGCCTAAACAAGTACCTCTACTATTCTGGGGGTTCCTTATGATTAGTAGAGTAGATTATACCCAAAACCCAAATCTAGTTATTAAGGCCCCTATATTAACTGATGGGTCCTTGGGGCTTTGCATTAAGGGGTTGTCGAGCCACTGAGGCTCTGTCACTCTGCTTTTCCACGGCGACAGTGAAGACGAGTTGCCGCTGACAACCGGAAGCGGATGGTCCAAGTTTGTGACTCGGACAGCGTAGGCTAAACCCTGCACCCTAAGCCCGCAAACCCCTGAAGCCTGAAACCTCAAACCCCACACGCGAAAACCGATTCTGCTAGAAGGGTTGTATACAGGTGCTTTATTTACAGGACTCTCCTAGCGCCTAAGGGTTCTGTAAAGCTTTCGGGTTCAGGGCTTAGGGTTCAGCGTTTCGGTTCGAAGGTTCGGGTGCAAAGCTTAGGATGACAGGTCCGAGCTTTGGAATTTTCGGGACCGGTGTTTGGGGTTTGGGGGTTGCGGTTTTGGTCTTTGATGTCCAGCCAAGACCTCTAACGGCATG